CATCTTGGCTGCAGCTTGGCTGCACCTCGAGGCCGCCCGCCGGCGCGGAGCGGAAGATGTCGCGCCTGGTAAGGAAGGGTCTCGGAAGGGTCTCGGAAGGGTCTCTGAGTCTACGCGGGGGGGAGAGAGGAGAAACGGGAGAAGAGGATGAGAGACAAGACGAGAGAGAGAGAGAGAGGGGGGGGGGGAGGGAGAGGAAGGGAGAGAGAGAGGGAGGGAGAGAGGGGAGAAAGAGGGGCGGCTGTCGCGCCACGAGCTGATCACAGCGTCGAAGCCGACGATGGGCTCGTGGCCCGGGTGGGCGCAGACAATACTCTCGCTCGGCAGCCACAGTCGCCGCATCGCTGCAGTACACCACAAGCAGACGTGATCAGGGTGGGAAGAGAAGCGCATGCGGCGGCTGGACAGGTGTGGGGAAGGAGAGGTGGTATGCTGCGAGTGCGGTTCATCCTCTGAAATTGCATTGCTGCTGCAGCAAGAGAGCTCTCCATCCCGGGCGTGTCGCGTGCCCTCCACGTCCCGCTCGGAGAAGGCGCGGTAGAACTCAGAGTTCGCGCTCAGCGCGCCGTACTCGCTGTCCATCTGCAGCGCGGCAAGCCGATCTCGCAGCGCCGCCGCCTGCAGCAGAGCCGACAGTTGTGGTACGGGCAGCCGCAGTTGTACGGCACGGTGCAAACCTGGGAGTAGTCTTCCGCCGCAACCGCGGCCGACAGCTCTTGCTCCAGCTTTCCGACGGCCTTCTCTTCCGCCTCTGACATGCGGGACGAACGCGAGCGAGAAGCAACAGGAGCAGGCCTCCCAGCGCGAATAAGCCCGCCACCGGTCAAACCCAACGCGAAAATAAGGAGGGGTGAAGTCATGTGCTCTCTGCTCCTCAAACAGACCGGGGTCGGCCGCCGGGCGATCGCTGGGTTTGGACTTTCTGCGGGGTATGGTATGGTAGTTTCGCAACCCACCTCGAGACCATACCCCCCCGCCTGCTGACAGACCCAGCCTCCCGGAGACCGGGGATGGCGGTCAGGACCATACCCCCCCATGGGCCGCGAGGGTACCATACCATACCCCGGAAAAAGTTGGAACCCTGCACCCGATTTTCTTTCTGTTTTTTCGTTTTAGGTATGTTGTTGGCAAACAAGACACTGTTTTTTGGTGAGCGGGAGTGCGAGCGTCTCCGCGCCAGTCCGCGCCCTTGTCGTGCCAGTGTGCTGTGAGAGAGGCTTGTATTTGAAGAATTCTGTTTTGATCTCCAGCGCTGTAAGACTTAGGGAGGGGTGGAAGAAATGTGAAACGCTTCGGATTTGTGAAACGCCTCTGTCGACTTTTTTCGCGAGCCACAGGCGCTCGCCCTGTGAGCCACAGCGCCTCCGGACAGCGTGCCGAGCGCCTGCTACAGGCCTGCCTGCAGCCCAGCCGCACTCGCTGCGGCGGCAGCTAGTCGGTTCGGTCTGGACTCGCGCGCGCCGAGATGGGAACCCAACACACGGCGCGTCGACCCGCCTACGCTTTTGCAACAAAGTCTGCTTGGCTTGTGCAGGTGATGCCCAGAGCAGCAGAGACGACGCCGGCAGCCTCGGCTCGACCTCGAAGGCGGATCTCGTGGCCAAAAACCTGTGCTCTATTCGTCGGTGGTTCACAGTAGACGTCTGTGTAGGGAAGCTCTCGCGTCGACTCGGCCGCCGAAGACTGTCTATGAGGGCACACCCGAGGAGGCGCCGATTTCAAGCACCGTGCGGCGGTGGCCAGGTCACAGGCATCGGCTGTGACACTGGAGAGTCGAGCAGCGGCACTGAACTTCCCTACAGGTCATTCCAGCGACCCACGGAGTACGGTCTCAGCGCACAATCACTCTACTAGATCCCATCCTTGCCGGGCCTCTGCGAATGTAGGTACCGAGTTCATGCGTGGCCAGGTTGCAGGCCCATACTGCCTGGTCTCCAGCACCTATGATCACCGCGCCAGGCCGCAGTCGACGACTTTTGTGTGCGCTGGCCGCACTCAACCGTTGAGTCGCGGTGTATCAGTCTGACCACACTCGGGACCGCGTAGGCGATGTGGGCGACTCTGGCCGTCCTGCATATGACCGACCATGACCCAGGAGGAGTGTACACGAGACATATCGTACATGGCTGGCGTTCTCGCGGCAGCACTATCGCGTGCGGCCGAGTGCGAGCTTCCGTGCCCGGTGCCAGACGCACTCGGCGCCAGACGTCCTCGGGAGCTCGCAGTTTTGCCATACCTGCCTGCCCTCCCACTGGCTCGGCGCTCCTGGTCCCTACCCTCGTAGGCAAGGCTGAGCGATCCCGAGCTCCAGGGCGCCATCGCCGTGCTCGGCGGCGCCGCCAAGGGCGCGAAAGACGCGCTCACAAAGGACTAGACGCGCTGCTGCTAAAGAAGCCGGGCACGCTCGTCGCGAGAAGGGGCTGCCGCCGCGGTCGGGAGGGTGGCAGCCACTTCTCGCGCTGCCCAACGCGCCTTCGCCGACCGCCGCGCCATCGCCGATGCCGTTGCTCGCGCTACCGGCGCCACCGGCCGCGCGGGCCGCGCTGGCGGCGGCGCCGCCGCCGCGCGCCGGCCGCTGCGGCTCCGCAGAAGCGATCCCTCGCGCAGAATCGCCCTCGGTGCCGCGGCGGGCCGGGGGAGAGGGCGTGAGGGTGTCTGTGGTGGGTAGGGGCCCCTTGCCCATCGGGTCGCTGCGCGCTAGAGCAGCGGCGGCCCGCCTAGGAGTAATGGAAATCTCTGCGCAAGAACAGTAGATCGTGGGGGTAGAGACAGTAGATTAAGACTGGAGATCCTAGCGGATCTCTCACACGGACACGCCCAAGTCTCGCCAGTAGATTTGCCTCCACCAGTTCTTCAATCTACTGCTGCTCTTGGCAGGAGATTTGCCACTTAAGAGATCTCTAAAAGGCATCTACGATCTACAGTCCAAGGATCTTCCGATGTTGCGCAGAGATTTCCATGTATGCCGCCTAGGGGGCTCAGGGCGGCCTGCCGGAGGGTGCCCCTAATGTGAAACTCACCTCCGGGGGAGGCCAACTTTGAGTGGTTGTGCCGAGTACTGTTTAAGGGTTGTGGGGCTGCTGTGGGCGGTTTTGGGCGTCCCTGGGGCACCCTCTGGAAGGGTCTGGCCCGTTGGTTCGGGGGGCGTCGCGTCTAGGGGGTGTATTCACACCTCAAAAATCGTTTCACGGAAGGTAAACCCTCCCTAAGTGTGTGTGTGTGTGAACCGCCAATGGCCGTTATCCGTTAGTGCGGACGTCGCCGCGGCTCGCCTCTGCCGCGGCGGCTGCTGCGCGCACGCGGCGGCGCCGCTCTCTCGCGAGACGGCTGGCGACGCGGCTCGCCGCCGACGTACGGTGCGCTCGTCCGACGGTCCGCAGCGTGGCGTGCGCGGCGCTGCGCGCCGCTCTGCGAGCGCTTCTGCGCCTGCACTGCCTGTCTCTGTTGCTGCTGGTGGTGGTGGTGCTGCTGCTGCTGGTGCAGATGCTGCTGCTGGCGCGGCGCGGCTCTGCGACTGGGCTCGACGCGCGCGTCGCGAGCGTCTGACGCGGCGGGCGGCGTCGGGCAGGTGCGCTTCTCTCTCGGGTGGTGGTGGTGGTGGTGCTGCTGCTGCTGGTGGTGCAGATGCTCCTGCTGGTGCGGCGCGGCTCTCCGACTCGACTCGGTGCGCGCGTCGCGGCTATCTGACGCGGCGGGCGGCGTCGCGGGCGGCAGCGGTGGCGGCTCGCGGGTGGAGGTGGAGGCTGGAGGCTGTGGTGGACTTTGAGTTTATTTAATGATGGACTACGAGGAGTGGGGGTCAACCGGGAGGCAGGGGGTCAACCAGGCGACGGAGGACCGTGGGCCATCGCGGGGACGGGTGCGTCCGGAGGGCGAACCCGGTAGATCCGGATGGTCTTCACGCCGGTGGGAGGCACCGAGGCGTCTGGGACGCTCAGCTCTACCTTAAGCTCCTGAGGGGCGCGTGGTTGTAACCACGTAGTAGGACTACAGCCCACCACAGACACCCTCCCCCACTCCTCACGTGTGTTCACACCCTCACCCTCTCCTATCTCCTCTCTCTCTCTCTCTCTCTCCTCTCTCTCCTCTTGTCTGTGCTGTCTGCCTGACTCAGGCACTCAATCTGCCGATGCGTGATTGTGTGTGGGCTGCTCCGAGGGGGCCCTCTGTGCGATCCGACGGGTAGGGGGGCTGTGCCCGGGCGGTGTCCGGTGTGGAGTCCCCTTCTGATCCCGCCTGGGATGTTGGGTGTGAGGTTGTGGCGGCTTCGATCCCAAGGGGGGGAGCTGATCCCACTCATAACCAACTCTCAGGGGCAGTAGGTGGGCGAGCCTCGAGCGCGCTCATCTCGATCGTCAAGGCGTCGCTACGCGCGGTCTTCCGCGGGGGGAGCTGCGTCGACGGGTGCGGGACCGCAGCGCAGCCAGTGCCGCGGCGAGGCCTCCGGCTGTTTGCGGCGGACGGCTTGCTGCTCGCGGCGATGGCGAAAAACTCGTCTCGCCACACGCCAAGGGCTTATGCTCTGGCGAGACGTGAGGCGCATGCGCCCAGGAGGGGAGGGGGCATGTGTAACGACACTGCTAGAGATGCCTTTCGGGGCCCAGAGATAAAACTTCTGTGATGCCATGCGTGACCTAGTAGTGTCCCCAGCTATGGGCGTGTCCACGTTGGAGCCAGGTGTGGTGTGGGCGCGAGAATAGCTCCGCCGTTCATGGAGGCAACCGATGCGAGTCGACTGGTGTGTGTCGTCGTGGTTTCGTATCAAGAATACTCACTCACACACACACACACTGTAAGACTAACAGGGTAAACACCGGCGTAAGTTTATTATTAAACATAATAAATAACGGCATCTCTAGCCCTCAAAAATGTCAGCAGAGTCCTCCTACAGGAATGTACGTTAGAGCCACATAAATTAAAAAAAAGAATAAGGAGCGCGCGGACGGCCCTTGCCGCCGCCACTTGCCGCCGCCCGCGCCCGCGGTCGGTGTGTCTCGCGCCTTGCGGGTTGATGAGGAAGGATCGGCAGCCGGACTGGCAGGACACAAACGTGGCTCTCATCGGCTCCGACATCGACCGCAAGTGCAAGGAGGCCGCCGCGCACGGCGAGCCGCAGTGGCGGGGCGCCGGCACGAGCGTCGGGCTGCAGCTGTGGCGGATTGAGCAGTTCCGCGTTGTCCCGTGGCCGCAGAAGAAGTGGGGCAAGTTCCACCGCGGCGACTCATACATCGTGCTCCGCACGTATAAGAAGCCGAACAACAACAAGAAGCTGGAGTGGGACGTCCACTTTTGGATCGGCAGCGAGTCGTCGCAGGACGAGTACGGCACCGCCGCGTACAAGACGGTCGAGCTGGACGACTTCCTTGGAGGCGGAGCGACGCAGCACCGACAGGTGGAGGGGGCCGAGGCGCAAGACTTCCTCGACCTGTTCGGCGGCCGGGTCCAGTACCTCGAGGGCGGCGTCGCGACCGGCTTCAAGAAGACAGAGCTCAAGGAGCGGCAGGCGCGCCTCTTCGAGGTCAAGGGCGGGCGCGGCAACCTGCGGCTGCGGCAGGTCAAGCTCAGCCGGTCGTCGATGAACTCTGGCGACGTGTACATCCTCGACACCGAGTTCAAGGTGTTTGTGTGGGTGGGCAGCGAGTCGAACGCGGCCGAGCGGGGAAAGGCGGACGAGTTGGCCAAGGGGATGGCTGCGGAGCGGGGCGGGGGGACGCAGGTGGTGCACGTGCCGGACGGAGAACCAGACGAGGAGGACCCCTTCTGGAAGGAGCTGCCCGGAGAGCGACGGTTTCTCGGCATCAAGGTCGGACGCGTCTCGGTGAAGGGTCAAGAGGCGGGCGGCGAGGACGCGGCTGTAAAGGCGCACCAGCCGCTGCTGCTGCGGCTCAAGGCGGGAGAGCGGGGCGCCTTCTCGTACTCGCGCGCCGGCACGGGGGCGAAGCTGCCTGTCTCGCGGCTGAAGTCTTGCGACGTCTTCCTGTACGACAACGGCTTCGAGATCTTCTTGTGGGTGGGTAAGGGCGCCGACCAGCAGGAGCCAGATCTCCCCACATCTCCCCACATCTCCCCACATCTCCCCATATCTCCCCATATCTCCCCATATCTCGGCTTGTTCCACGACCGTCTCAAGCTGCTCGCCATCACTGACCCTACCCCTCACCGGCGGGAGCGGTCAGCGCCTTCCCCATATCTCCCCATATCTCCCCATACCTCCCCGCAGGAGCGGGTCAGCGCCTTCCCCTTCGCGCAGCGATACCTCAAGGACTACCGCCGGCCGTCCGTGCTGCCGATCACGCGCTACGCGGAGGGGAAGGAGGCGCCGCGCTTCATCGAGCAGTTTGGGCCGCCCGCGAAGGGGTGCTTCGCCGACCCCGGGCAGTATGTCGCCCATTGCGTCTGCATGTAGAGTAGTGCGGAGCGCGCCCACTCTTTGAGTGCACATCCGTGAGTCTCGAGAAACCACCCGCGGCTCCCGGCGAGTTCTACGTGATTCGTGTCAAGTGCCACTAGAGTAGAGAGGAAGAGTGCCGCCTCCCCCCGCGATTTCGACAATTCGTGTCACAGTGATGTGTGATCGATGTAAATAAATTAAATAAAACGGACACCTCTACTAGGAGATGGGGGTAAAAAGGAACAGGTCCCCGCCCTTGCGATCTTTGTGCGGCAGGGTTCTTTGTGGGTGTGGTCGGCGACTAGCCGGGGTCGTCCCCTCCCGATGGGGGACTAGCACTAGCCGTCTTCCACACGGTCCCTCGGGTCCCTGCTGCTCCTAATCTCTTCGTACATCCTCCTGCTGATCTCCGCAACGTCCTGCTCCCTCCCTCGTCTCGCCCTGCGCGACTGCTCCGCCTCACCGTCGTCTGCCCTGCGTCGTCTGGTGACGGGTCCTCCATAGTCGGTTGAGGTCGCCGCCCTCCTCGTGCCTCTTCCCAACGTTCCCTCGGCGGTCGGTGCCGTCTGGTCCGCCTCCGCCGTCTGTCCGCCGTCCCCGGGTCTGACCTGCCCTCGTCTGCACTAGCTTCTGTTTCGTCATCACTGGCGCCTCTCCTCTTCTTTCTCCTCTTCTTGTATGCTTTGTACATTGCGTCGATTCCTTTTCGCGTGAGCACCACCCTGAAGCTCGCCCAGCAGCGGAACCGCTCCCTAAGTCGAAGGAGCATCATCAGTCTCACCCACTTCGCTCGCTGCGATGACCGATGTGTCGGGTGTTCGCTGTTCGTTTTATAGAGCCTCGACGCGTAAGCGCTAGCCCCGCTAGACGTAAGAGCCCGTTCTGCCGCGTGCAGAGAACGAGAGGAAACGAACCGCACACACACCGCCAGTGCGGCAGTGGCCATGCCGCATGCCGCGCTCGCACCAAACGCCAAACCGAGAGAGAAAATAAAAGCAACCAAGGCCGCCGGACCGTGCCTCAGCGGGGCAGCTCTTGCCGTCATCTCACGTTCGCGGCCACCCTCCACCAAGCACAGAGCACCACCGACAGGATGCGGCGGCGGCGGTACGCGTCGCCCACCGCGGCGTTGCCCCCCTGAGCAGGGAGTCCGGTGTGGGAGAGGGGTGGAGAGAGAGAGGCAGAGCGAGGGGAGGCGGCGGGCGGGTGAGCTCGGCGACTACTCTCGGCTCCTCTCTCGCCTCGAGGAAGACGGCGCGCAGCTCGAGCGTGCGCATGCACGGCAAGTGGACGCAGCGCTCCCCGCCGCACCGGTCTGCCCTGCACCTCCACCGGCGTTGCCAGCCTGCCTGCCAACGGGCGCGCCGCCGCCACTGGCCGAGCGCGCGGCGCAGCGCCGCCGAGCGCGCGCGCCGCGCCGCTGACCGCCGCGCACGCGCCGCCGCGAAGCACCTCTCCCGCCACACGCGGACGGCGCGGCGCAGCGTCGAGCGAGGCTGCCGCGCCGCAGCAGCGCGAGCGAGGCAGGAGAGCGCGAGTGGATGCGACTGAGATGGGAGGGCGGGGCACGCGTCGGCGCAGAGGGACGGGGGGTGCTGCCGCAATTCCGGGGCGGGCGCCGGCGACGGTGGCGACTCGCGCCAACGGCGGAACGCATCGGCGAGGACGACGTCTCGTGGTGACGTCTCCCCACGACGTGATCGGCTGCGCGGCGGAGGCGTCGACACGGCGGAGGCCGCCGCCTCACGCCGCCGCCGCGCCGCCACGGCGTGATCGATCGCCGGGAAGGAGGAACGCCGCGGCGATGCGGTGTCCGGGGACGCGCTCGGGCTCTGGACGTCCTCGTCCAGAACCCATGCCGCCGCGTCGGCGCCGGCGGCCGCCCGATCAGCGGCAGACAGGAGCGCAGAGTAGATTTCGCTGCTCGCGTGGCGGAAGGCGAGGGACTGCTCGAAGCCGTGAGGCGAGAGGTTCATGGTCTCGACTGCCACCCACCGGGAGCGAGTCGTCGCGAGCACCGCTCGCCAGAGGGCGGCCGCCGCCGCTGCGGTACTCCATCGAAAGAAATCAATGACCATGAGATGGGGGAAAAGTCCCTTGGGTTGTGTGTTTTCTTTCTTTCTTTTAGGCCGGGGCGGTGCTTGAAGTCGCACTCTCGAGGTTCTCGAGGTGGATATCCTTTGGCCGCGTTGGGTAGCGAGGATTGGTGTGACGCGATCCACGCAGGCGTGTTTTCTGACGGCCGACCGTCAGTGCACGGAGTTGCCCCTTCTTTCTCCGACTGCCCCGGCTAGTTAGTTCCCGAGGTCGTCGGGTGTGACCCCTGCGTCCCCCGGGACCTAGCGCGGGTGGGTTGGAGGGGGGCTCGCTGCAGGGAAGGGCTGTGTAAGAAGCCGATCCCCGTAGTCCGCCCCGCTCCTCCCCATCGGGCCGCATGAGCGGCCACGCCTCGCAGATTCGTTTTCGCGCCTGGGTCAGGCGCGCGGGGCATCCCCCGGGTCGCTCGACCAGCGATCCGAAGAGTGGCCGCTATGCGAAGGAAAGTCGCTCGACCAGCGATCCGAAGAGTGGCCGCTATGCGAAGGAAAGAGTGGGGCCCTCGACGCCTCAGTCCGGCCCTCCGAGGGGGGAAGGGAATTGCGGGGTCCCCACGGTGTGTGGGGTAGGCGACATTTGCGAGCTGGGTGCAGCGCGTCCACGGCAAGTACGAGCGCCACAAGGCTGCGGCGCGCTTCCCCGCGCCCCCTCGCGACGAGCCTACCACCCACGCCCCACGGACAAGGTGCAACGGTGCAACCGGAATCAAGTGGGATCTTGACCGTGGCGAGGCTGGTAATATATTGAGCTAACTTTAAAGAGAGTAGACGAAGGCACCGCATTTTTTTTAAAGTCAGAAAAGAATTTCCTGCCGCCTGTAAGTATATACCCCTGCTCTGTACCCCGGCTCTGTACCCTGGCTCTGCCCTCGTCCGCCGCCTCAAGATCCTCAGAGCCCGCCGCCTCGCTCTCGTCGCAAGACACGGCGGCAGAGGAGCCAACCACTGACGCCTCGCTCCTCCTGTAGCAGCAGCGGCAAATGGCTGAGCGACTCAAGCAAATGGCGGCAATAGTCGAGGGGCAGCGCCGGGCACTCGAGAAGATCCATGCAGCCGAGGCGGACACGTTCAAGGAAGGTGGCGCGGTGCTTAGCCCCCGCCCGAGCAAGAAGTTCCTGCGAAGCTGCATTCACGCTATGTGGCGAACCAAGGCCACGGCGTGCTGCTACGATAGCAAGCAGCGCACGGCGACGAAGATCCAGGCCGCTGCTCGCAGGCTGCTTGCGAGGCGGCAGCTGATGGCGGTGCGGAGAGCGGCCAGCAAAGTCGCCGCCTATACGCGCCGCCACGCTGCCATCGTCGAGCGGGCGCGGCTGTTGCACGAGAGGTCGGCGACGCGGGTTCAGGCGGCCTTCCGCTGGTACAAGTCCCGGGTGCTCGACGCACCGGCGGTGACCAAGTCGCGGCTCATCGCACGACTCCACAAGGCGCTGCGCATGCTGAAGGCAGCAGAGGCGGACAAGGCGGCGGCAGTAGCAGCGGCTGTGGCGTCATCAGAGGCCGACAAAGCAACGGCGGTTCGGACGGCAGTGGAAGCAGCAGTGGCAGCAGCGGAAGCGGCAGTGGCAGCAGCGGCTGTGGCGTCATCAGAGGCCGACAAAGCAACGGCGATTCGGACGGCAGTGCAAGCGGCAGTGGCGGCGGCAGATGAAGCGGACAAGGACAAGGGCGGTTATGCGGGGCACGGCGCCATGCGGTACCGCCACGGCGACTATGAGGGCGGGCTGAAGGCGGGTCTGCCCGAGGGACGCGGCGTCTGGCGGTCCGCCGGTGGCGACATCTACGATGGCGAGTGGAAGGCCGGTGCGAGGGAGGGACGCGGCGTCTTCCGGTACGCCAACGGAAACGTCTATGATGGCGAGTACAAAGCGGGCGAGAAGGAGGGGCGTGGCGTCTACCGGTTCGCCAGCGGCGAGGTGTACGAGGGTGGGTGGACAGCGGGTGAAAGGGATGGCGTCGGCATCGCCCGGTGGGCTAGCGGCGCCGTCTACGAGGGCGAGTTCAAGGCGGGTGAGAGGGAGGGGCGCGGCGTCTACAGGTGGGCAAATGGCGACGTCTACGACGGCGAGTTCGTGGCGGGCATGATGGAGGGGAAGGGCGTCATGCGGGGCGCCGATGGTGACGCATACGATGGCGAGTGGAAGGCGGGCCTGCCGGAGGGGCGCGGCATTTGCCGGCTCGCCAACGGCAACGTCTACGAGGGCGAGTTCAAGGCGGATACAATTGAGGGGCGCGGCGCGTTTAGGTTCGCCAACGGCAACGTCTACGAGGGCGACTTCAGGGCGGGCCAGAGGGAGGGGGGCGGCGTTTACCGGTACGCCAACGGCGACGTGGATACTGGCTTCTACAAGGAGGATGCCCACGTCGGCGAGGGCGTCGCGTGGGCTGCGGACGGGCAGCGGGCGGCGCGACTGCGTGACGGGAAGGGAGTGCAGCTCATCTCGCTGGAGTAGGCGCGGAAGACCGCCGAGCGGCTCGGACTTCCCATCCCGACCCCGCTGCCCGGCGCGTGACCGTGTGAGTACTGAGTAGTGGAGACCGCTGTTGGTTAGTTGGCTGGGCGGGAGATGAGCGTCGAGGAGATCGACTCGCTATGCAGTCCAACAGGACTACGGCGAGACGGGCTGCGAAGGAGTTGACGTGAAAAATTCTTTTCTTGTAAAATTCTTTTTCGCTCGGTACCCAGGTACCGCATGGGCACCCTCACGCTAGCCCGGCGCCGGACGTATAGGTGGTGGAGGTGAGGGCGACACGAATGCTCGGCCGACTCTCCCGTCTCCGCCCTGCCGCCGCGGCACGCTCCGCGGCCCGCGTGTCGGCTCTCCGCTCCGCACCGAGGCGCGGCCTCGCGTCAGAAACGTACACCGAGCAGCAGGACAAGACGGGCAGGCGCTGAAGTCTCTCTTCCGAAGACAGGAGGTCTCTCTGCCGTGACGCTGCTGACGAGTCGGCGCTTCGCTCGTAGGCCGCTCTCTCCGCACCTGACGATCTACCGGCTTCCCATGATTGCCTACTCTTCTATCACCGTCCGCATCACCGGAGGGATCGCCTACGCCTACATCGTCGGCGTGACGGCTCTGGTGTGTGTGTCCACTCGATCGGCCGCTCAAGGCCCGCGTGCAATCGCCACCAGCGCACCACTCCCCCATCAGGCGCTGTTTGGTGGGGCGGGGGCGCTGGAGCAGGCGGTACAGAGCCTGCCGGAGGGCGGCGTGACGCTCCCTGCCGCCAAATTTGCTGTGTCGTGGCCGTTCGTGTACCACTGGGTCGGTTGCGCCCGCCACATGGTGAGTTGGTGACCCCGCTCGCGTCCTCTACCAATTCCCTCGCTCGACCGGCGCATCCTCTCCGGCCAGAACTCCCTCCCCCATGCACCGCCCACCCCGGCTGCAGGTGTGGGACGTCTTTGATGTCTCTTCAAAGAGCTTCACAAACTCGTTGATGCGCACGAGCTCCTACGGCATCTTTGCCGCTACCACCGCAATCAGCCTCGGCCTCGCGACCCTCTCCCTCCCCAAACCCGCCCAGAAGGAGTAGCGAGGGGGGGGGAGGGGGGGGAGGGGCAGAGGAGCCCCAATCTAGAGGGCGGGGGAGTGGAGGGACAGTCACCGCCCCCAAACGGGGGCGAACCGCCGACTAGAACTCGTGCGTGGGTGCGTCGTGGTGCGGTGGCGCCACTCGAGGCTGCCACACCGCGTGTTGATTGGTGTGCCCCTCGTCTCTCGCCCACCGGTGGCGCGGGCCGCGCCTCTCCCCGCACTGCTGCGGGGTTGGGCCTGGGGGCCGTCCCCTGGCCTGGCCTGGGCTGGGGCCTGCGCGAATCGGTGACAATATCTTATACAAAGACACGACGAGAGAGATGTCGCGCGGCGCGAGCCGGTGTTCGAGCTTCTCGACTCCGGTCTTTGCCGCGTTTTTCGATTTTCCCGTTTGCGTGGATTTTGCGATTCGTTGCACGTCGGAGGGCGGGGAATATGGCACTGGGAGACTTCTCGAAATGCGGCCCGGGGCGGATGCGTACTCTACCTCTTGTGGGACGACCATTTGGGACGACGCTGACTGACACCCCTGTCTGTCGCCCGGCCCCCCCCTTGGCAGCGATCGATGCCGGCGCCGGACGCTGCGGCGGCAGGCCCACCACGAGCGGAAGTGTGAAGAGAGGGGGAAGAGAATTGAATCTCTATATTATGTGAAAGAAGTGGAACCAGTCGAGGAGAAGAACGTACCCTTGTGTGGACGTGTCGTTGACGCGGACAGGCGTGGCCCAACGGCAGGACCACAGCGCACAGGGCGAGGACGACGCAGACACGGGGCAGGACCATGAGTGGCAAGCGCGGACCCAGCAAGCGCAGCCAGCGAGCGGCCGCGGTGCGAGCTCACGCGTTGCGAGCTGACGATACCAGTGCATACACGCTGTCGGCGGACTACGATGACGAAGGCGTCTGGTTTTATCAGGCGTACAACGAAGGCATCGCGGACTGGGCGGTGGAACACGGCACCCTCGGCGGCCCGCTCTTCAATACGACGAGGATGACTTGGATCAAGCCTTCGTTTGCGTGGATGCTCTATAGATGTGGCTACTCCGCAAAGCACGGCCAGGAGCGCGTGCTGAAGCTCAAGCTGCCACACAGCGAGGTGGCGTCGCTGCTCGAAGCGTGCGCCTGCACGCACGGTGGCGGCGGGAGCAAGGGCCGTGTTCAGTGGGACCCGGCGCGCGACATCTACTCAAGCGAGGGAAAGGGCAAGTCCACGGAGCCTCGCAAGATGCTTCGAGAGCGTGCCATCCAGATCGGCCTCTCGCGCGAGCTCTCCGAACGCTTCGCGCGCTCGATCCTCGCGGTTGTCGACGTGAGTGCCCTCGCGCGTCGCGTCGGCGATGCCCACCAATCGAAGGACGTGCGCGCTGCAATGGAGGTGTTGCGCGCACAACTACCGACGGAGCGACAGTACATGCCGCGGTGCATTGCGAAGGACCTTGTCCGGCTGCGCTTGATGCAACCAGAGGAGCAGAAGCTCGCTCCTGGACCGATCCAGGGCCGTGGCGAGGGCGGCGGAGGAGAGTTTGGCGGCGAGGACAGCGGAGGAGATGGCGACGGAGGCGAGGGCGTCGGTGAGGGCGGCGGCGGTGAGGGTGGCGGCGAGGGCAGCGACGGCGAGGGAACGGCCGAAACGAGCCCGGCACTCAGGTCGTCGGCCGACGGCAGCAGTGGTTCAAAGCTGAGCAGCCCGCGTTTGCCTCCGCCAGCATGGG